CTCTGGCATTACTTTTTTTGAGGGATAGTAGCTAATTTAGTCTGTTGCTATGTATATACATAATCCGCCTTGTTTTACCCTTGTGAGTGTTACTGGGCTTTAAAAGCACAAAATTTGAATGCCCAGTCATGCAGTGTTGAATAACTCTCTGAACCTCTTTGTGGTTAGATTTAGTTTCAACTTCTAAAATAACTTTGTACATTTACCAAACCAATCAAGCCAGCTCCGTGCTCCAATTGTTCGGTCGTGTGACTGCGAGGCAGTTTAGCTCTACTATGCTTTGAACATAAATGCAGACATTCATGCTGATTTCTTGCTGATTCCGGTCAGTGGTGGCATAGCTTTCCTGAAGGGCTTCTTTCTCTCTCTTTTCATTTTCCCCCTTTTGCATCCATGACTTTAGATAGCTGTAGTTCAATGCTGAAGTAATCTAAATATTGTGTCAGATTGTAGCAGCAAGTAGGGAAGTGGCAATAGCTGCTCTATAGTTAGTTCTGCTGGAAAAATTCATCCCCAAAAGTGATGCTGGGAGAACAACCACAAAGGAGTCTCTCAGGGTGAGCTCAATATCTGAAGTAGTTTTAAATCCTGTATGAAAAGAAGAGGCTTGATTAAATCATAAAGCAAGCAAAGYCTCTTTTTTTCCTAATGATACCATAAAACACCAGAGTAATAAAGCATTAATACCAACTTGCTGATGGACGGTCACCTCTGGATGATTTCAGTAAGTACAGGAGTTGCAGGAAAAAGAGGGAATGAATTTCTTTAAAGGGAGTTGGCCTCTTCACAGGAGAAGGTCACAGGTTGAAAAGCAGGATGTTGTGGCCTTGCTAAGGCCAGGAGGGCTTGCTGGAGAGCAGCGAGTCGGTGTGTGCTCCACGTGGGGCYGAGCAGCATCCCATGCTGTGGGGCTAGAGCACCCATGCGCTGGCTCGGCTCCATCCTGTGCAAGTCAGTGGCTCTTTAATAGGAGATCTCGGTGACTCCTTTCCAGTACATCCCCAGGGATGTGCTGAGGGAAATGGAAGAAAACCTGACAGCTCTAATTCACCCTTAGGTACCGGTTGTATTTGTGGATTTCCATGTCATGYGCAGAAGTGCTGCAAAGTGACTCGATTCTCTCCCTCTCAAAGTTGACCTGCTGCATGGCCAGGCTGCCTGTGCCAAAGCACTTTCAGGGAGCACAGAGAGAAGACATGGAGCAGCGCGCTCGGTTTTCCCCTCCTTTAAACTCTGTGCCTTTTGAAGCAGGACTTGAGTTTTGCCTCCCAGCTCTGGAGCCAACCCAAGTCCGTGCCCCCCAGGTGGCTGTTTGAGCTGTTCAGGACAATGTGTKTTTCTCTGGCTGCTTCACAGCTGGTGCCTTTTTGGATGAGGGCAGAGGATGGTGGTGACCTGGCAAGACCTCAGTAAAGCTCTTGCATGGGGACCTTGCCCGACCCGCCTGCCTGCTTGTATGGGACAGCGAGCACTGAAGCCTGCTGGGGGAAGAAGCCATGATTTAGTAGTCAGCATGAGCAAGGACGTGATCCCCGTGATGTGACATGGGCTACAGCTTATTGTCATGGCTAAGTCGCAGCCATCTCGTATCGGCTCAGCCTGGGCTGACTGTGACCRCAATCACAGAATCCCAGAATGGCTGAGGTTGGCAGGAACCTCTAGAGATCGTCTAGTCCAACCCACTGCTCCCACAGGGACACCCAGAGCACGGGGCACCCGGTCGCATCCAGGCGGGTTTGGAAGATCTGCAGGGAAGGAGGCTCCACAGCCTCCCTGGGCAGCCTGTGCCAGGGCTCTGGCACCCTCACAGGAAAGAAGTTCTTTCTCACATGGAGATGGAAGTTCCTGGGTTTGAACTCATATCCCTTACGCCTTGTACTGTCACTGGCCACCACCAGGAAAAATTTGGCCCCCTGCTACCTACATTCTTCCCTCAGGTACTTATAGATATTGATCAAGTCTCCTCTCAATCTTCTCCAGGCTAAACAGGCCCAGTCTTTTCTCACGAGAGAGATGCTCCAGTGCGTTCATCATCTTTGTTGCCCTCCACTGGACCCTCTCTAGAAGCTCGACATCCCTCTTGTCCTGAGGAACCCAGAACTGCCCCCAATGCTCCAGGTGCGGCCTCCCCAGGGCTGAGCAGAGGGCAAGATCCCCTCCTTCGACCTGCTGGCAATGTCCTCCTGATGCAGCCAGGATCCCATTGGGGCTTCTTGGCCACAAGGCCACTGCTGGCTCATGGTTAACTTATCAACCAGGACTCCCAGATCCCTCTCTGTGGAGCTGCTTTCTAGCAGGTCAACCCCTAAGCTGTCCTGGAACCTGGAGTTATTCATCCTCAGGTGCAGGACCCAGCACTTGTCCTTGCCAAGCCCCATGAGGTTCCTCTCTGCCCAGCTCTCCAGCTTGTCCAGATCCCTCTGAATAGCAGCACAGCCCTCTGGAGYGTTGCCCACTCCACCCGGTTTGGTATCATCTGCAAACTTGCTCAGCACAAGCGCTAAAATGGTTGCATCCCACTTCCCTGCTCCTGGGAATCCTCAGCCTGCGGCGTCGCTGCGAGCGGAAACCCGGCGGGGGCAGCACGGAGGTGGCGTGAGGAGCGGGCTGGGCATCAACCCCCTTTCTGTGCCCCACTATAGAAAAGAGTAGAAGGTTTTCAGCTGCCTGTAATCGAGAATATTTAATTCTTGCAGTCTATTGCAGGCTAAGTTGTTGCCTGAGCACTCACCCTGGCATCGAGCACTCTGCTTCATAGAGCTGTTCCACGCAGGATTAAACTCATGGGTTTTCTTTTCGGTGGTGCTCTAGCTTTACCTCTAAAGATCAAAGAACTGGTTTATTAGATTATTTTATTGTACTTCAGTCACTCTCTTCATTTTTCCTTTTTCTTGTATGTGAAAATGGAAACATGATGGTGCCAGAAAGTAGCAGAAGCCCCTCATTTTTACGTGTGTGATAAGAAGCAGCGAGAAATGGAGTGATGTTGCTTTCTACATTACTGTTGCTCCAAATATTAGTCGTTTGCTTTGTAGCTTTTCATGCAACTAGTTGTATATTAGTCTATATGATTTGGCTGATTATTATATGATTCCTTTGTATATCCTTCAAAGGACATATATGTATATTTTTATATATAATATACACCTATATATATATACACAAACAAATTGAACTGAACAAAATGGAAACTTTCTCAGGATAATCTGACATGTTTGATAGGTATAGTGGTAATTTTTAACAAGAGCAAATTCAGAGTTTTGGGATATATTTGGAAGATGCTGGTTTTGTGAGGAAAGCCTGCCTTTAAAGCCCCCCCATAATGTGGGATTGCTTGTGGTCGCTGTGGTCCTGTTCTACTTTAATTWGTTTGCTGCTGTTGCTTTCTCTGGGGGCTGTGGCTGCTGCTCCACGAGCAGATCCGCGGGAGCCACGCGAAGGCCACTGCGCTCGGCCCCGGCGCRATCCGGAGCGTCGCTACTCGGGTTTGGTCCGGGCCGTCGGGGGGACGAGGGCTCCCTACAGAGCCCCGAGTGGAGAGGTGACGGCGGCTGTGCTCTGCAGCGCGGCCTCCAACTAGCTCAGTCCTCCCCAGGCAGCGTCTCCCTGCGTCCCTGTCACGGGTAGGTCCCAGGGCACCGTCCTCCTTCGTTGAACGTAACGGCGCTTGGGTTTGCTCTGCGGAGGGCGGACACGGGCCAGAGTGTGGGCTGCTCTGGCGCTAGCGCCTCTGCCGCACGCTCTGTATCTGCTCTCCCGGCAAGCTCAGTGCTTGCCTTCAATTAACTGTCTGGAGCGCTGCGGTCCTGATGAGACTCCACAACAAGCATGGGCAAATTATGCTCTGAGCATTTTTAATGGCGCTTTCATGCTTGTGCTCTTGGCTGCTAATCAACGTGAAGAGATGCTCTAACATTTAAAAAGCTCCAGCAAACTTCACCAGAACAACTCACTCAGAGCAAATTGCTGCATTAAAGCTTCAGCTCACTGGAGCTGCAGGATTTCAAATGCCCGTCTGCCTTTGACACGAACCTTTGAGATCTGAAGCTGCACCCACTCCTAAGGTACAAACGCTGGCATGATCCTGGGAATGATCCTGGGAGGGAAAAGCATCACAAGGCTGGGACCCTGGTGCTTCCAAGGACCAGCAGCAGAGCTAGGTTTTAATATTTCTGTCCCTGAGTCTTTCTTCCCTTAAGCAGAGAAACTTCCGCTTGCAAAACTCTTGCCCTTCTTTGCACAGATGTCAGCTTGTGCCTTAGCGCCAGTGAACATTGCAACCATGGCTCTGAATTAGGATCTTTCCCCCAGGATGTTTCTAGGCTGGTCTGTTTTTAGGATGGATTTGCCTTCAGCGATTCTGTAGCCTAAGTTTGCTGAGTATAAAATGGGGCAGGTTTCACATGTTAGGGCTTTGGGGCACTAGTGCTGCTACTGCTATTTAAAATTGCCTGATAAAAAGAGCTGTGGAAAAATAAAGTTTCCATTGTATTAGTTCAAATGTTCTGGATACGTTTTGCCTTTAAGGGACAGCAGAATGATATATAGGAATGATATATAGGATATATAGGATATATTGTTGTTTGCCCTCTTTGGTTTTGTTTCTTTATTTTTCAGTTTTGCATTTAAGCACCGAACGTGCGTCTGCGACAGCATTTACCTCAGCCGTGTCCTTCGCTGTGAAGATCTGCCCCGTCCCGAGGAGGGGGCCCTGGATGCCTTGCAGCCCACGGGGCAGTGGGTGCCCTGCGTGCAGTGAAATTCCTTCGTCCTCCTGTGGATTTAGGCAGGGCGGTTCTCTAAGGCCATCGTGCTACCATGGGATGAACGCGCTGGAAATTAATGTACTGTCAGGCTGGGTTCTGCCTGGGTTTCCCCGTTCCTCTCTTTCCTACCCAATGCAGACAGCGTTTTTTGCAGGATCTCTGTCCCAGACTGCACTTTTTTGCTTCTCCACCTAATGAAGCTTTTTCCTTCACCCCAACTTGTTCACAACACAGACCCTGATGAGATCCCCGTGACGAGCCCACGGATCTGACGTGAGTGTAGCTGCGAACGTGAGTCCGGTGCTGAGAAAGGTTTGGGGAAAAATGGTCATCTTTGTGGCTCAGGACAAAGAATGTTCCGAGAAGAACAGCCCCTGTCTACATCAGCTTCCTGTAGACCTGCCCTGAAAACACTGTAAGTGACTGAAGATTAAATATATCTAGATGGCTGCTAACATTAATGAAACCTACCTGCAGTTAACAGTTGCTCTCAATGTAGTCGCTCACTCAGGCAGTTTGGCAGCGTGAGCTGCAGTGTCAGGTGCAGTGTCAGTGTGAGCTGCGGATGCTGACAGTCCTCGCCACATGGTCCCGTTTCCTCATTCTTCCTTGCAATGTCTTAGTAATATATTCARTTTTTTATACATGCCAAAGCACAGTGTCCCCAGATGACCACCTGTAAATGGCAAGTCATTCATTAAACAGGAAAACACAGAAGCAGGAAGGAGTCRCCTCTTGATGGCCTGAGCCTGAAAACACGAGCGCCTGGGCAGGAATGTCCCTCACTCCCTGTATYTCCTCGCAGCGGTGCCTTGGTGCCAGCAAGGGCCGGGTCCCACCGCACTGCCCTCCAGCTGGCAGCTCTGGCACCTTGAGTTTGGCTGGCAGTGCTGTTGCCATCCATGGCCCTTGCACAGCGAAGGGAGAGACCCAACAGCACCAGCAGGTCCCCTTGATGAAGGCAGTATCGTTGCTGGTCCCGCGTTTGATTTGTCAGGCGCTGGCAGAGGGAGATGCGGTGCCGGAGAAGAGGATCTTCCTCTTCTCTCCCTGTACYGCAGAGCCTTGGACAGAGAGAGCAGCTGCTGCTTTCGGGCATTTCTCCAGTCGTGCTCGCTGCAGCCCTGTGGCACCACAAGTAGTGGGATATTAGCACACTGTGGGCTCCAAGGAAAAGAATGATTTATGGCTGTGATATTCATATTTCAATTTGGGGCTGATTTCAGAGTGTTTTCTCTCATTATAATTATTATGCAAGGCATTATTTGAGACCTGCTTGACAGCAGGACGGTGACTGAAAGAGGAGGAGTGTGGTAGCCGGCTGGGACGTGTGTGGGCAGAGGGAGCCATAAGGACAGACAGGCCCTGCAGGCTGCATCAGGCCCTAAAGCAGAGTCTAGAAAATTCCAGGCGCTGATGGAGAGGGCTGAGCCTTTGTGCTTCATGTGGCCTTTGGAAAACCCTCATGGGCACCTGGGTCCTTTCAGTGCTGTTATGTCCCGAGCCCCCAGTCTGTGCCTGTTCTATAACATGACATGCTTCCTTTATTTGAGCTTCCAATTTATATGTTAATCTAATATATCAGCATTGTTAACAGCACTAATTCATCTGTTTGTCTTCCCAGAGAGTTTCTGCTCTTTGTCTCCAGCTTTGTCTGTGTGTGTGTGTGTATATACATACATATAAAACAACTGGAGAAACTGTTCTGTGTAAAAACTGGTTCTAGGGAGCATCCCATGCCCAGCTGGTCCTTTCTCAGGCTGGTGTATTTGCATACTGCAAATAGATRTCTGTTTGAAAGATACAGAGAAACAGGAGCTGATGTATATTAAAAGAGCAAATATATGAYGAATAAGGTTCATTAAAACATTTATTTTCATTCAGACAACTGATTTTTCTAGTGAATATTATTTACAAGATCTTGGAGAATCAGTTTTGCTGTTTGACTTCAGGGTCCTTAGAAACTGTAGAACTAGTAGACTTTAGCCTCTTGTAGCTGCATTTCAATCACAATTAGGACAATTAGGAGAGGAAAATGAGCTTTTTGGGTTTCTCTTTTTCTTTTTAACTTTTAAAGAATTACAAAAGAAAACGAGAAGGACGAAAATATCCTTTTGCACTTGCAGAAGAGGCTGCAGTCACGCGGAGGTTTGTGCCGAGCTTCTGAGCTCCTCCTGTGCTCAGCCCTCAGCTTCCCTCATCGCCCCGCAGTGAGTATGTGCTGCTTACACATATGTTATACAGTTGATTCAAAACCTTGCAAGCAAGGTATAGTACTATGAGACCTTTGTATTCCTTGGTGTTTGATGTTGGGCTTTTGTGTCCCAGCACAGCAACTTGTGTCCCCTTCAAAACTTGCAAAAAATCAGCCTGCGTGTTTATCCTGCAGAAGACGCATCACTAAYGTGTTCACATGGTGCTTCCTTTGAATTCCAGCATGCTTCACACGGGCACCAATATAACCCAAGCTGTGGCACATGGTGTTAGGACCCCTTAACGATGGGGGCCCTGTGCTGCAATATCGTGAGTCCGCTGCAATATTGTGGGCCGGAGCTGCGCAGCCGGAGCCAGGCATGATCCTTGCTGTGCAGTGACCTCTGCAGCAGGACGGAGGCTGCAGGCCGTGCTAGCCCCGCCGCTGCTGCACCCACTGCTGCCCGCAGCTCCAGGTTAATGGGTCGAATGAAGTTAAATTTGTACCGAGTTTACAAGGTACGTCCCCATTTTCTGACTGAGTGAAAATGGCGATAACTTGCATGTGCTGCTGACATCAGCAGTGTTAGAAAARTGCCACAATTAATCATCTTGATAACACCTGAATGAGGAAAGSTGAAAGCTTGTGATAATGGCAAAGTTCTATAAGAGCAGTGTGGAGATCTAAGTGTAACTCTTGCAGAATTTTAAGGGTTTTTTTTTTTTTTATTTGAAATTACATCTGTTTATTGTTGAGTTTTCTCTTTTATGGTAATGATTGGTTTGCAGTTGGACTTGATCTTGAAGGTCCTTTCCAACCATATTTTTTTTCCCTTGCAAAGGCTTTAGGCCCACACTTCTGGTGGAAATAAGTGTTGGTGCTGSCAGAGATTCATCAAATAGAAAACTTGCTTGAGTGGTAAATGTCCATAGGTGACCATTTTAGTGGCTCTGTTAGATGTWCTATGGCACAGTCTCAGGAATGAATTTGAGTTGGGCCCTGTTATGCTGGGCACTTCAGCATATAGGAGCATATCCACACTTAATATGGATTATGCTACAGCATAATCCATATTGCACAGAGCACCTGCTCACTGCTTTGTGTCCTCTTTTAATAATCAATCATGATATTATCTCCGATAGCACTGAGCAAGGAAAAAGCAAGTGAGCCTCCCCTTGATACTTTTATTCATCAATTATAAATGAGATATCCCTTTCTGCAGATTAAGTGTTGCAGTTGCGTGCGGGGTGTGTGATCCATGGACAAACCAGACTCTGACAGAAAGCTCCAGACTTGCTAGATTGCTTCCAGGGCAGACTTGCAGCTTCACCAACATGTACAGATTTATAGCATGGGCCGAGCTGCATCTGGTTCTTGTCTTTCCAAAACCAGAAGCAATTAGTGCTGCAATATAAACATTATCTGCTTTTCGCTTCCAGCGAAACAATATGGAAAATGGAAGAAAGAAGTAGCAAAACRATTGAAATCAAAGGCTTTACGTGGCGTGCACCAAGAGTTACCTACTTGTGTAGAACTCTGGAGAAGCTCTGCACTTCTTTGGTTCAGATCACTCAGTTTTTCATTCCCCTTCAAATCCAGAAAATATCTGTTTTTCCCCATTAAAGCACAGCAAGAGAAGGGTCTGCTGAAGMAAGTACTTTATGTAGTCAAGGACTCAATTATGCATCAGTGGATTCAATTTATAGAGCAGAGAGCATCAGTCTTGGACGAAGCCAGTCGCCCCCACAGAGCACTAAAGCACACGCTGACAGGATGAATTAAATAGAGTGCTAGCCAGAAGTCCCTTCTTCGAAAAGGTAATTCGATTCAGTCCTGCAGAAATTAGACTCCTGAAGCGGGATATGTGCATTTTGTTTGGAATAGCTCAGAAACCATAGAAAAAAAGAGCAAGTTTATTACTGGCAGGGTGATTCTTGGGTGAAAACTCCTGTTTTGGTACAGGCACAGAAGTCTTCGGGAATAATCAAGTGAGTAGACACAGCTACACTCATACCTAGTGCCTTAGGTTCTCTGCAGACTATGAGCATCTCAGACTGTGGCTAYGATCAATTTTTCCTAGCTGTGTTCTTATGTAAGCGAGCAGTGTGTGTGACGTCTTGGATAAGGCGGATGCTATAAAACGTGTAGAAGACTTCAGAGCACCAAACTCCATCTTTCTTGTTTCTGCTGGTTACACGACCAAGCAAATACGTTTTGTGATAAACTGAGTGTGTCTCCCTGTGTGCCTGGATACTATAAACACTGTTTTAATATGCAGAAACTGTCATGTGAGAGGTGGAGAAAAGGTTAGGGATTCAGAATGAGGCTGCTTCTGTTACTGTTTGTTTTGCATGGCATGAAAAGCTTTTAGATGGTGTGATCTGGCCACATGCAACCTTAGCAAGTTGGTAGATCTAATACTTTGTTGTTACAGACAACCAGATCGTGGTTCTCGAGTGCTCCCGTGCTTCTGCACTGCTCAGCTTTGCTGCCTTTTCCTGATGGAAGGAGGAATATCCTTTCCAACCCTAAGACTTTTCTATTTGGGAGAGGTTTTATGGAAGCAGGATGTATTATGCGCCAGAACTAGGGGATTTTTACTCCCAGTCCGTGCTGCAGAGGCCCACGGAGTTATAACCAAGCTGTCTTGAGCCCATGAGCTCGACAGAGGCCTTGAAGTCATCTAAGGCCCCCTTGGGTGCTGCAGCGCTGGTTTCCTGCCAGCAGCAGGGAGGCAATGTGCGTTTCTGCCCGTGCGCCCTGCCGGGAAAGCAGCCCTCGGTTCCCGTGAGCCGCCGTGAGAGGTGAGCGGCACAGAGCGAGCCGCGGTGGAGGGCTCTGCTCCAGGGCCTGCGCCAGCCTCGCTCACCGCCACAGGAAAGCCTTGGCGGATAGCGGGGGCCTTCCGAAACACTCRGCCTCTTCCTTCTCTTCCCCATAGCAAGTTACTCTCCAAGGCTGGGCTGTCTGCAAATAGCACCCTGAGGTCTGACCCGTGCCATGTGGAGACCTGCAGTGAGTTTTGCAGATGTTTTTCACGCGGTTGTTGGCAGGGCCTCAGGCTGCCGTGGCTCCCTCCGCTGACTCCTGCACTTGCATTTCCAATTTGCCGTACGTGAAGGCGCAATCTATCACGGGCAGCCTTTCCACCGGMCATTAATTCCCGCTGACGGGCTGATTGACTGGGCTCTCGCGCTGCCTCGCTTTGTGCATTAACAGGAAGAGCAAAAATGCAGGGACCTGCTTACGTGGTGACTTAGAGGAATAAAGACAAAAAGAGGAAAGAAAAAAAAAGGCAAAGAGGTGATAGCCAATTTGTCAGGATTCACGCAGTGAGTGAGTTCACCTCCTCTGAGTTATCTAAAATTGCATTTGACTGGTGGCAACCTTAATGGGCCGACTGTCATTTTGACTGACAGCGCCGCTCCGAGGTGTGACGAAGCGGCTGTAGCTGAACTGCGGGAGCGGTGACAGGGCTGGCCTGGGCTCCGTGGGTGCCTGCGGGCGGCAGAGCCAGCCCCAGCCCAAGGCTGCAGTGCTGCGAGCTGGAGGCCACGTGGACGTGGGGTCACCCGCACTGYGGAGCACCCGGCCTTGGGGTGCTCAGCCTGCCCTGCCACTGTTAGCTTCACTTCTGCAAGCCCATCCCTGGCATTTGGGTGATCTCGGTAGATCTCAGTATCTCTGCTTTCTTCTGCTGCTTTGTGCGCTGTAGTTCTTCATCACAGCAAGGATCTCTTGAGAGTCGTTGCCACTGCTGAACACCTGGTGTTATTTATTTTCCCTCACTGGGGTCTAATCTGGTTTGACTGAAGCGCTGGAGGGCTYGGAACTGCCTGACGGCACCGTGGGTTGGGGACGTGGACCATATCGACACCTCCCCGCGAGCTGGGTTTGCGGCTCTTCCCTCTGCACCAGCTGGGCAGCTCATCAGGCTGSTCTGCTTGCCTCCCCCTGCATCTTTTTCTCCCAGGTTTGTAAGTTAAAGGCAACAAAGTGAGAAAAACCTCACTGCGGGAGGGCTGCTGAGCCAGTGAGCTGTCGGCTCTCGCAGGATCCTTCCTCTGTGTTTCACAAGAGCTGGATAAGGATGGATTTAGAAAAAAGGTGTCAGATATGGCAAACGAGAGAGTTAAACACAGACACTGAAACTGAACTTCATTAATATTTTTATTAGGGAAAAGAGGCTACATGGAAAAGGTAATGTAGTTTCAGGGCCAAACTAGTTCTAAATGACTTCTTTTTACAGTGGAAGAAAAGAGTAAGCTTCTAGTCTCACAAAGAGAACAAGTAGGATGAAAGAAAAGCCAAATCTCAGGAAGGCAGGTTGTGTTTTTGCAGTCTGCAGATATCGGCATAGAGCTGGGTGGGTTTTAAAGGTGCCATTCAAAGGAAAAAGGGGCTATCGCAGCTCTGCAGGTTTGCGGGCGCAGCTGCGGGCTCGTGGGGCGATGTGGTCCCCTTGCTCGCAGCCCTGCGCTCCAGGCGGTCTCTGGAAGGAAGGAGGCCCCTGCAGAAGGGACGTGAGCTCGGAGCTGGTGCTGGGCGGGCAGGGCTGCAACGCCCGGTGTTTCCAACAGTGCCTTTTCCCACTGCTCGTTATTTAATATCAAACTTAGGCTTTCGTTAAGGAGTCATTTAACTGCTAGAACAGACTGTCTGAGAGCCTTCTTCCAGAGCAACCAGAAACAAAGGCATATCAAGAAAAAATGCCTTTAGAAAGGCATGTATTTAACCACTGCACCAGTCTTGAAATGGGTCACGTCTTAAATTTCTAAACCAATTCTGGCTSCAGAAGCTGGCAGGGTTTTTGTTCAGTGTCTTGGATTTTTGTGTGTTTGCAATCTCCTAATCCAGAAGCAATATGAATACTTTTTTTTAATAACAATAAGAAAAGTGGCAGTTCTTTGTCTGCCATCTACTTCTGTAGGAGGGCAAAGCCACTGCAAATCTAGTGCGGTGGCCTGACTACACATGTATTTTACATATAGCTGATT